GTATCAAGCCGAAGATCGTGGGTTCGAATCCCGCTCGTGCCATTGACTTTTTTATCTCAACTAAAAACCTTAATTAATTGTAATTTTACAAACAGTTAAAGAATGATTGGTCTGCCTATTTCTACTGTTTCAGTCCGTCAGACTTTGGCTACTAACCAACCAAAAAAAAAAAAAAACACTTTTTCCTACTCAAGAATTTTTGAAGACGTATACTTTTAACTTCTCCAGTTATAATAAAACCGGAGTTAATTTAATTTAAAAAACTAAATAAATAAATAAAAAACTAACGATTTAAAAATTGATGAAAAAAGATGATTTTTAAAGCGATAAAAGATTTGGCGGATTTTCGACTCACAATTGCGTTTCGATTTAAAAACAGAAATAAATAAATCAAAGGGAAAGCTAGAAAGATTTACGCCTTTCTTTCATTTCCCCCTGGCCATTATTAAACTTAATTAAAGCTTTCATAATTAAAAACCCGAATGCCCGGTAGATTTATACAATTGGGAAATTAAAAATTAAACTGCGCGACTTTCTGTTGAGGTCTGCCTGGCGGTTAACTGCCAGTTCATTCGCCTCCTTTTCTTTCCAGGTCCGCCTGTAATCGCTTGTTTAGTCTGACAGACTAACCAATTTCTCATCTTCATTGAAGAGCCAATAACAAGTGAAAGTTGAAAGGCGAAAAACATAAATATTATAACAATCTTTTAAACAACGAGGATTATCTCAAAGGATAAGCTAATGCCCAACCGCAGGCTCGGCAGTGCGAGCTGAGACAGAAAAGGACGAGGAAGGACTCTCTTTCAAGTTGTTGAAGACACCTGCTATTTTTGTGTAAATGGCAAGTAGTTGTGTATGTCACAGATCACTTATTTCTCTTTTATTTCTTAATCTGAATATATTTATTTTTTAGAAGGTTATTGTTATATGTTTTATATCAACTAAAAACCGTAATTTAATGATATTGATTGGTCAAGCGGAAAATTAGTGAAGTTATTGTTATAATTTATTTGGGTCAGGTCCCAATTTTTGTGTTTTTGCGATTAATTTGTTTGAGTTTGTGGCACGGATATTTTTTTGTTTTTATTTTACACTCGTGAGTGAAACGAGTTGCTTCGTGTGAAGGGGATCCTCGCAATCGTTATAGAAGGGGATGAAGGAGATGGTTATAAATATAAATAATATTTTTAAACCTTTAGCGTGTTAATAAACGAACTATTCGTTTGTTCTATGTAGACTAACGAAAAAATTGCGTTTTTCCATATTGTCCCCTCTTAATCCCTGATCCGGTGAACCGTAAGCCATCTCTGTTTGAATTTAAACTCGGTTAACTAATCGCCCGTTCGGGATGGCTTTGAAAAGCAGTCGGCCCAGAAGAAAGGAAATGAGAAAAGTTTGCTAAGGGTGGAAGGGCTGCAACTCATTAAACCTCATTAAACGTACGCCTGTAAGGGACGAATTTTTGTTCATGTACTATAGAAATTGAAATTCCAATTGTTGAGCCTTGTTTTATTTTTGACACAATGCTTTTTTTTAAGATTAAGATTAAATATGGCAGGGATTTTATACTGTGCCTTTTAATCAGCCATTAGTATTACTGTACCGTCGCTAATTGTATTATTACCGGTGAGTCGTAATGCATCAATATATTCACAGTCCTTTCCCAATATGGTTTGCGTGTTTTTGCTGGTTTTGTCTGCCAGATACGTTTGGGCGTCTTGGGTGTTTGATATGTTTATTATTATCTCAGGCAAGATTCAATTAGATTCAAAGCCACAGTTGAAAACCAATTTCGTATATTCAAATAAAATTTCACCCCAATAATTTCTTAAGAAACTGAACGTAGTTTTTCGGTCTCAAGAATCACAATCCAGAATTCCACATTTCATAATCGATATTTGCTCATTCCAACTTATTCTTAATTTCCTCCAGTAGTGCACAGTATTATTTTCTTTCAGTAGCAGTTTTAGTGGCAGTTTCTATTTTTAAAAATTGTAGTAATTACAATTTTTTCAATTTCATAAAATATTTGTGTTTTTCAAATAGCAAGCGACATTTTAGTATTGCATTTTTAGTTGCATATTCATCAATTAAATCGATTTCATAAAAATGGCGTAAATCATTTGAAATTCGTTCATATAGTTTCAAATTATTAGTGTCCTCCCTAGTTTTTTCGAAAACTGCTCAACTTAGAAAATGTACACAGTATTTTTTAACATAAGCTCTGCTTTTAAACATGGCAATATTACAGTTTTTCCATCTCTTAAAAAATATTTTTTTAACAGTAACGTACATATTCAATTGTAGCTTCATACTTTAAATTTGTCAGAAATCAAAAAATTGTAATTATTGCAATGCTTGAAAAAAAATGAACGTTGAAATGCTTTTTTAGGTTGACTAGGTTTTGGAAAACAAAATAACAATTAAGTTCACATCCTGTATACAATTTAATTTTTGCTAACAATAAACAATGGTAAAACACGTTTCTAAAATTGAATTAGGCAGAATTATAAGAAATACCTTGTGACCAAGCTAATAATCAATCTAATTTGATTAATAGGTCACAATACTGTCAACAGTTCATTTACTAACCACTAAGATAATTTTTAATTGTAGTTTGGCCATATCACCCTTTTTTCTTTGTAGATGAACATGCTGAAGTTTCACCACCCATAGAAATAATTCCCAAACCAACAATTCTTTCTATGGACTAGGGTTGGTCTGAAATTTCAGTAAATGTGTCTTTCATGAAACCACACATCGTATGGACCGAGTTTGGCTATTATTTTTTTATACATATTTTTTTAATTGGCTTAACTATCACACATAAACATCATAGCTATTAACACATTAAGTCATTTAAAACCTTGTCACATATTCATTATTTATTATGGGATTGGAATTTAAAAGCTGGCCACGAAGGTTTTTGTATCTCGATCTACTGGTCTCATGCTGTACCCGACTACGTACAATTCTTGATCGTCCGTGTTCGCACAACTTAGCACAAACTTACTCTACAATGAAATATAATCATCCTTCTCACAGTGGAAGCGACATAATTTTGCGGTTATGTGCGCACAAGTAAGACATACGACTCGATCAATCAACATGGGATTTTTGCGAACTACACATGGGTCTCGAATCTACTGGACTGCCCAATCTTCCCACCACTTAAATCAAATTTATTATGTAAATTTTGAATGTCTTAGACTATTAATAAGATTCCATAGCGTGGTTTGTGAAACACATTTATGGCGGTTTTGCCTCACCATATAGTCAAAACCTATGCCTGGCTAGACCTTAAAAACAGCACAGACCTGAATCTGCGAACTGTCCTGGAAAAATTGGCACAATGTATGTTCTGTCAGTACTTTTACCCGATATGTATGTCCTTTTATGTTTAGTCAGGAGAAAAAAATCCGTTACCCTCTACAGTAACTCTTTTCTAAATTTTACGTGCGATCCGTCTGAATATTTTCGCGTTTCAACTAGTTCAGCAACGAGGATTTGAACTGATTAACGGTTCATTTTTTAACATGTCTTTTTTTGAGACAAATCGCTGAAGCACAGTACTAGTAAGGTTCAAAAATATTCAAACTTAGCCAGCAAGTCGGCCTGGCAAATATCCCCGTGCACTGAGTGGCCAGGATCTACGGCGATGGTCAGTACATAATTTCCAATGTCTCCTTCAAGGATTCCATTTAACCCCATCACACATTTTGACTTGGTTAAAGATTTGAGTTCCACCTGACTATCATACCAGCACCCTTGTGGATGGTTGTACTTGTGAAAACCTATAAGAAGTTGCTCTAGCTCTACATGAATTATTTGTGTAGAGCTGAAACGTTATTATTTTACTTAATTATTTTATTACAGTATTACGTTGGAACTTAGTATGCCACAATTCTGGCAAACCAGCTTAGCATCAGTATCTTTATTATCATCGTAACCATTTCCTTTTCTAAATCAATTGACAGAAAAATTCAGCGTAAGCTAGGTGCCAACAATGTGCATTGATTTGGCTAATATGCGAGAAAATATACCAATACTGTATTATGTAATATTTTTAAAAAGATAGTTGCTACTTGCATTATGTTGTTTTTAAAAGCTTAAAATGACTTATGATTTAAGCTTAAAAACTTAATGTAAGTAGGGACTATCTTTGTAAAAAGTCCATTACAGTTCGTGGTCCGATTGACTAATTAAATTTTTCAATTAATTAATATTTATGAAAGTTATTGGTCGAGATAAAAAGTCAGCGTCACGAGCGGGATTCGAACCCACGACCTTCGGCTAAATACGCCGCTGCTCTACCACTCGAGCTATCGTGACTTCGATGCTCGGGCACTAACTTCCCATCTCAACCTCAACTCTCGAATTTTCCCTCCTTTTTGCCATTTTTTCAAATATCGTGTAATCTATTTGATTCTCGGCGACAAATGAAAAGGCCACGGAAAGCTTTCGTGAAGATATAATTCAGTTTAATTGTTAAATCCATTAGGTTTCGTGGTCCGATTGACCAATTAACATTTTTCAATTAATTAACATTTATGAAAGTTATTGGTCGAGATAAAAAGATACTTTTTAAAAAGAATTGAACAACCCGCTCACTCCACCGTTTATCTTTTCTATTGTATTACGTATGTGAATAATAAAATCCTAAAATTGGAATGATGCAACAACAATTTTATAATAATATAGTTTTATTTAATCTTGTTAAAGGCGTATGTTTTCTATAATCGAAAATTCTTTTTTTTAATAGATTTCCTTAATGAAAGAAGAAAATTATTGTCTTTATACAAATGTGGCAGTTAGTTTTTTTTAAGTGTTTTCCTAAGCAAGGATGAGAGGTCGAAATTGATACGAATCTACTGGGAAATATTTATACCGTAATTGTACAAAGTGGTTATCGTTTACAATAGTTCCCACTGCGGTAAAGTCATTTATACTTTGTACCAAGTCGAAATTGAATCTGACATTGTTTTTCCTCTATGTTTCAGAACCTGAAGAACCAGATAATGACAACGAACCTCTGGGTGGAGCAGGTAAGGGAAAACAACTGGTGGAGCCCTTGAGGCATCCTTCTATAATGCACGGCTCCCAATGGCCACTGAACCTTCTCTTTAATATTTTATTCAACTGTAAACAAACCTTCGCTCCGGGACCACTACGAAGTTAACTCTCCAGTGTAACAAACTCCATCCCATCCCCTTTCTTTCATAAAAGAGGTGAATTTTACATCGGAGCACTATTTGTCGCTATGAGGCACCGGTGTGGACTGCTGCTATATAAGTTATAAAGATATATGAGATTTAGCAGTTTAAAAAAACACAGGATGGTATGTCAGGCATAAAAATAATTTTAGAATTGTCGTTTGCTCGTTTCTCATTACCCTGGCCCGCCTATGATTGCCATTTTTGTCTGCCAGACGCTTGTCAACATCTTCAGGTTTGCATACAATATGTTACATATATTATTATCATCAATAGTTTTTTACAATTAATTAAGTATGTAGAGATTAGTGACCGTTAATCGATAGTTATTCAGATATCGTGAGATGCGGCCGGGTGTGATGTAGGTTTCAGAAAAACATTTTCTTTATCGTGCCAACCTTTCGATCTTTTATTGAGATCATCTTCAGGGCCTGGGATTTACAAACAATGTTTACATTTAACAATTACATTTAGGAGGTGGAAAAGTGAATTTATACAATGCAAACTATATTTTATATTCAAACAAAGTATTTCTACTCACTCAAAGTGTTTGTCTTCTGTGTAATTGTGCCATCCTTGCGTGTCGTGTTGAGAGTGCCAGTGAGATTTTGCTGTTTTATGTTTATATATGTTTGGTTTTGAAAGGGTGGGGAAGGAAGTCGGTATATAAAACCTACATCACACCCGACCGCATCTCACGATATCTGAATAACAATTAATTAAGGTTTTTAGTTGAGATAAAAAAGTCAATGGCACGAGCGGGATTCGAACCCACGATCTTCTTCTAGATACGCCGCTGCTCTACCACTTGAGCTATCGTGACCACTTTATCTCAACTAAAAACCTTAATTAATTGTAAGATTTTAATTGGTCAAGCGGACCACGAAACTAGTGAATTTAATAATTTTAAAATGGAGTATACTTTCAATAAAGCTCTCCGTGGCCATTTCATTTGTCGCCGAGAATCAAATAGGTTACACGACATTTAAAAAATGGCAAAAAGGAGGGAAAATGCTCTTTTAAAATGATTTGTCAGGTTGTATAGGGTCACATTTGAAATGTTGAAGTTGAACTGGGCCTGAGGTATCCTGTTAATTTTTCTCCAAAAAAATGTAAAAATTTGAAATTAGACTAAAAAATATTAAACGCGTATATTTTGTTTTGTTGATAGCGTCATTGGTTCAAGGAAAATTCAGCTGGGATACCTAAAAAGACATTCTGTATATATAATTTATAGAAAAACAGGTTGAAAATTTACATAATTGTTTTTACATATACTTTATTTTTTTAGGGGGAAGTTTTACATGAAAAAAGGGCCAGGGTCGACGGACGGAATCGAACTCACGACCACGTTATTAAATTTTAATTGGTAAAGAGTAAAGTAAATTTTGTAAAAGCACACACTCATCAAGCAAACTTATCATGGTATGCATAGTATGTAATCTTCTCGACATGGACGAAATTGATCCCGCCCAATTAAGGATTATTAAAACAATTTACTTACCCTCGTAATAAACGATAATCCCCCGGCCAACTTGTAGTTGTGCATTATGAATATAAAGTGGGTGTAGTATTTCCAATTAGCGATATTAATGGCCCAATCTAATTAAAGGACGGTTTTGTTGGAACAGACATCGGCTGATCAATGGAAAATGATCAAACATAACTCACCCCTTTAAAATTGAGTGAGGAATTGTTTCAATTGAGATTTGAAAAAACAACTGAATTTAATCGGCTCTTTCTTTCCAACCGGCTTGAAAGTATAAAAGGCCCATGTTCCAAATGCGATTAGACATTAAATTCTTCAGCAGCAATTATTCATTGCTTGACTAATTAATTTTGCCCGGGCGAGTGGTGTAGTTAATAAGTAGCTGAAGGTGAGGCGGGAAAACCGATAAATATTAGCGAGACGATAAATCATACAGAAACAAAACAAATATTCACACGAATAGCAAAAGATAAAAGAAGAAATAAAAAGGTAATATAATTGATTAAAATCCTTAGAAAAGAAAGATATTCTTAAAAACATAACTTCTATGAAATACTTGTTTGCAAAGTGTGGGAAAACAATACAATCTAAAAAAATTAATGACTTTTAACGTTCTGGGGTAATTTTTGCTAATAATTTTTAGCATAATTATGTTCATATACACAAACTAAACATAATGTATAGTAACGGGTCATAAAACATGAAATTGTTAATGTAAGTATTAGGGGCGAGTAAGTCTTACTATTTATAATTTCTTGCTTGATTATTTACTAAAAAAAGAGTCAAAAGCCTTACAAAGGTACAGTAAAACCAAATCTCTGTGTTTTTATCATTAAATTTTTTTGTAACACTACTTTTGTGTATAGCGAAGCCTGTCGATACTGGTTGTAGTTCATTCAGAATAAGTTTGGATCAGTGTTGGGCAAAAATTAGTCATGTCTAATGATTAATGATTGATCACTCAGACTGTTAGTCATGATTGGTAGTAAGTGACTAATTTAGTCATTAGTCGCCATATGTGATTGATGACTAAATTAGTCATGACTAGTAATTAAATAAGACGCATGACTAATTTAGTCACAATATAGTTAGTCATGACTAAATTTCGATAAATCATGTTCAAATGGNTATATATATATATTACGCACTCGCTAAACCCTTATCTGTTGCAACCCTTCACATTCCTCCCTTATCACATCTACACGTATTCACTTCCAAGTAACCCCTCCTTCATTACATCCCCAAGCCTTTGCTAATATTAATATTTTTAATTGAATCCGTCTCGGGCTTTCATCGAGTATAGACCGAAGATTCCCTAATTGGAAGTGGTTATTCCAGTTTTTTATTTGCTTGCTGTGTAATAAATAGTATTCTTTTTAAAAACTAGTTTAATACACGCAAAACCATAATTTATATATATATATTTTATATATATATTTATATATAATATATATAATATATATAATATATATTATATATATTGGATTATGCACTTCTAGCGTTTTATACTTAGTATAAGCCACCTTAAAATACTTTTTTTAAGATTTTGCTTATGGCGTTGAGAAGCTTGATGGGTTGGTGGTTTATTGCGGTCCCATTTACTCATTTTGACAAAAATTACTCTAGAGATTATCCTGGTTTCGGGAAAATAATCAAACAATTGCACGGTATTAAACAAGTATAGAAGTAATATAGTCATTTTTAGGAAGGTACTTCTGTACTAGCCTGCAGTCACTATGAGAATGTCCACTAGACTGATTAAATTTGCGTATTTTTCTAATCATCGCTTGTTCAAATAGTGAGGTCCCTGACTGGCATTAAGGAGTAGATAATAGTTTCTAAACTCTTATTCCTGATCTGTTTCTGCATAACATTGTTATTACCTCATGGATGTAGGTTAATACACATAAAACATTTTTTTAAGTTAATGCTAACAGACAATAATGAAAATGTTATTAAACAACAGGGCATTATACCCTCTAAAAACGATTATAAATCAAACTTAACGAGTGTATATAAAACATATTTAAAACAAATGAAGGTTAAGAAGAAAATTCATGAAGTTTTCTGAGTGCTCTATATTTTGCCTTGTACAGAAAGTACGATTTAAGCATTTCTTAATGTATTTGCAAATAAATAATGAAAATAAATCGAAACGGCCGAGAAAATGAAAGTTCTAGATATGGCAGGAGCCGGAGAATGGAGCATCCCTTAATTTCAAAGGATAAATGAGACCAATGACTTGAATTATCATTTGTTCCAAGAGGATTTGCCCGAGAAAAATGAAAGAGCCTGGCTAAACTTGGAATTAAAGCTACGGACTGGTGGGTTTATGAAAGCGAGTTTGAAGCTGTGACGGTAAAAACAGACAAAAAAAATCCGTTAGAAAAAGAGAAGTCATAGCTGATCACTAGAGAAGACCAAGAGACAATCATCTGTGACAGTTCTACGTTATCTCATTATTGAAAGGTAAAAGGATTGATACAGATTGAACCATTCTCGACATTTTAATTTATTTTGTAAAACTTTAAGACTTTGTTAACTGTACTTATTTTCCGATTAAGTCGCCGGAACATTGCCCATATTAAGACTGGGTGTCAAGAATTGGCAATCGGCTTTGCTTTTGTCTTGGCTGCGAGGTATGTCAAACCATCCTTTAGAAAGCAAAGCATCCCCTAAGGACTTTAGGGTCCGGTTCATCGAGCCAGGAACCCCTGGAGTACGCTAAGGGAAATATCTCCCCCTCCCGTACTTATCCCTTCATCGCTCTAATAGACAAGAGCCCTTAGTTCAATAGTTTAGTATGACTAGCCCCAAGCAGTTTCCTATCCGAATTAGTCCGCTATTAATAATTGAGATGATAAGACCGTGTAATTAACGATGGTTTCTCCCTTATGGATTATTTAGTGGATGGCGACAAAAACAACTCTCGCTCGTCTCCGGCTTTTAGTCAAAACTCAGCGTACAAAAATTTCTGTGACAATTATATTCGTTCAGATTGAAAATTATAATGAGGTTCAATTTATAGCACAGCTTTTACGAGTGAATTGATTGATCAGATTCGACAATTCAGAGTATTTGAGCAATACATTTTCGCCTCTGATGAACTTATTTCATTCGCAATTACATCGGCTAAAGAATCAACAGTTGTAAACGTATAGAAGGAAAAATTCAAGAAATTGTAAAGGGAAGTTTTATAATTACATTATTTCTTAATGGTTCGACGATTATTTGATTTTATTCCCATTACATTTAATGTCAGTTTGCCTTGGTAGATTTATTTTGTCGATCACCTTTTATTTAACATTTTATAGTTGATTATGGCAGTTTTTATTTTTATTTT